TATTTTTTGGCCTTTATTTTCCTATGTGCCTGTTAGCAAAAAAAAACCAGTGCCCAAAACGAGGGGAAAGGCAAAAATTCCGAATTTTTTTCCAGGGGAGATTTTAAAACCTTTCTTTTCCCCCCCCCTTCGGAATTTTTGGGCTTTCAATTCCGATTCCCAAGAAGAAAATTTTGGGATCGGACCTTTTTTTTTTTTAAATTCCGTTTTTCCTTCCCCTTTAATCGCTGGCGCTCGTTCGAGGGGATAATTTTTCATAGGATATAATATTATGTCACCGTATCGTACAGCAAACAGCATACGAGTTCCATACCACATCTAATCTAATGGGGGGGGGGAGGAACCCAATTTCAGCTTTCTATATAATGGGCAGCACTATATGAGGAGAGGTCGGTCTCATGGGTCAGTCAGTCGCTGACAACCCGTCACGTCATACTGGTATTAGTAACAATCCCGAAAATCATAAGGGCACTTGACTTATCCCTGCTCTTGGGGGATGACGGCACTGTGCTCACGGCCAGTTTTGACAGCATCACATCACCATCGTCATATTATCTCATGCCACCATATCTATTATAGCAACTAAACGGGCCATGGGCTACAAACTGCTCTGCATCCTTGTAAATCTAGGCTATTTTAGTATGATAAGGGAGAAATTGGTACTAGGCATCCTGAACACAATGTCGCCTTTGCCTATGTCATTTATGATGAAGCTCAGCGGGCTCCGCAAAAAAAAATTTACTTCATCTTCTCTTCCTAGCTCTGAAAAAAAAAACCCCTATTTAGCACTATGCCCCCTCGGTGGAAACAATCATAGGACTATCTTGAATAGATTATATAGAAATGCTAAGCGCGTAGTCGTTGACACAAAAAGCATGGGATGCGTCTAGTTAGAAGGGAAAGATCCGGCCCTAGGAATCTCTGCTCGGGTACCGGCATATGACCTCAAACTACCGCTCTTAGGCGCCTTGGAGCATCTACTGACTAGTGACCATTTACCAGTCGAGTGACGCCCGATGACCGCAACGCCAAGGCTTGTTACACATTTACATTCACTCTAATTAACCATCATTAGACTAACCCCATTCGCAACATCAAAAGCGAAGATACGAGTAGACTACTGTAATCGATCTCAACGGACATCATCGGGGGGGGGAACCAACGCAGCAAATCCCTGTCCCATTTGTTCCTTTATCATTACTGTACCAACAAACCGCTATATATGCCCTCTCCCCTCACGCTTACGCCGCTCAGTATTATCTATCATGACACATTTCACGCCCAGCCAATTAACCAATTAACCAGCCAATTAGGAGGGGGAAGAGAAAAAACAGAAAGAAAAAACATAAAAATAAAACCCCCTTCAAGAACACAGGTACCTAAACTATTTGCCCACCAAACCCCCCATCTGATCTCACGTCACCCAGCCATTCCATATCAATCATTAATTCCGAACGACATCACATCACAAAAAAAAGAGAGAAGCTTTACAATCACTGCAGAGAGTTCTTCTCTCACCCACACGCCATCCTCCACCAGAGACCAAGTATCAACTATTAGACCATCTTCGTTGGCGAAACCCAAACAGACAGAAGGGTAACAAGTACCGAACTAAGTAAAGTGAAAAGTGAAAAGTGAAGTGAAAAGAAAAAAAAGAAAAAAAAAACAAGTGAAGAGAAAACCTAGACTCCAATCAATCAACCATAGTACAAAGAATATTTGATTTTTTCCTCGCTCTCATTTCCATTCTTCGACATCATCGTTCCAATTGTGCCGCACGAACTAGACGACCACCGGACGAAACACGCTTTTGCAAGCGCTCCTTCTCGCGTTGCTGACGCTCTCGGAGCGTGGCTGGGGGATCGTAAAACTCGCCACTAGAGGATTGGTGGCCGTGTTTTGATGAGGTGGTAGAATTTGAAGGAGCAGTCTCTGTGGGCGCACCAGATCTCTTTGCAGTCTTCTGGGAGAGGTAGTGCTTTGCCGCCAGTGACAGGCCGGAGCTTGGGATATTAGATGTGATTTCTCCACCGTTCTGGATTAGCAGTTCTGCTAGTGGGAATGTTACGGATGAGAGGTTTGTTGAGGGCGCAACTAGTTCGCTACCTAGAACAGCAGGTGCTGGGTCGGCGGCCTGGAGAGCAAGGAATATTACGTGCAGGCCTGTGGCCGGATCGATGGTGTTAGGACTTCCGTGCAAAGCGAGTGCGTAAAGGGTGCCCTGAAGATCGTTGTTCTTTACCGCAGCCAGGATTGACTCGTCCGGCGATGCGTATTGAGAGAGTGTCGGTGACAGTGACTGCACAAAAGCTCGATCGACATACTTGGACGTAATGAACTTTAGTCTCTGCTCTCTGGAGGAGGATCGCGGATCCGGGCGATGGGCGGCATCAAATTTAGCCTCCCATATAGAGTTTGAGTTCTTATTCCCTACTTGGCAGAGCAACTCGACCAAGTCCGGCGTAAAAGAGGTGACGTCCAATGTCAGCGACCGAACCTTGGATATATGTGTACCAAGTGAGCGATGTAAACCACTGCACTCTGTAAAACAAGTTAACCATGCTCAGCTATTGCTTCACGAATAACATACCAATACACAAAACTACACCCAGGTTTATCGACACCCATTCGGTCTTCATCTGACTTTGGCAATCCGCACAGTAATTGTTGGTAGAATCCGCTTCTCTAACCATCTGGAGCAATTTTTCCGGATCTTCATTGAAATTGCTGCTATTCCGCCGAACATTAATTGGCCTCGCGCCAACCGTCGTGCGACGATTCATGTTGGCATTTGATGCCGATGCATGAGACATTGGATTAGTCCCATGAACCGAGTGATAGTAATGAGGACTCTTCCCGGTGAGGGCCGTTGTTATATTCTTCAATTTGTCAGGCCCAGCATCATTCTCAACATACGATGTATCAAAATTTCGCACAGAGCCACCGCCCTCAATAGTGCTCTTGACTGCATTATTGATTGCCGATATCCAGTTATTCATATCTTCCTCGGAAGTTGCTTGGTATACCCGCTTGTATTGCGGGGTCACAATCTCGAAGCAAAATCGTCTCTCGGCTCCTCGAGCTTCCCGTACCGACGCCATCTTGAGGTTGATTGGATCGTTGTGGAGGTCCAACTTCTGTTTCCAGTTTGAATACTCACACAACTGTCCACCAGCTAAGACAACCCAGTATCTAGATATCCAATGTCAGCACATGTCGTTGAACTCCCTTAGCTCCTTAGCCAAACATACTTATGCCACGCTTGCTTATTCAATCCTTTAGGATCCGCATGGCTTCCGGGCCTGCTTAAAGCCCAAAGAAGCCCCTCCTTTCTCCTGTCCGATTCACCGTTTACAAGGCCATTACCAGTGTATTCCTTCTCTTGCAAATCCCTAAATCCCTTGAACTTATCTGCTGCAGCATTTACTGGAGATGGTTCAGGCGCTGTCAGTCGGGTCGAACCTGATGACAGCCCAAAGCCGTTGGATGGGTGTGATAACACAGTTTCGGGAGCCTTCTCGGCCCTTCTATCACCACCTGAATTTGATCCTGAGGATACTGCGCGGACACTACTTGTCCCGACACCGAGTTTTTCAAACCCAGTATTATGGCCAAGAATTTCGCTAGGTGAGGCGGTCGTTGGGTTGGGTGTTGGAGGTGGCATGAAGGAAGCAAGATTATCTGGTTCAACATACGTCTTATTGCTCTTCTCCAAAACACGCCTCCTTTCCTCCCGTTCAGTCCTTTGCAGTTGAAACTCCTTATCCGACTCCTTCACCTCATAGCTCAGCGCCTCCAGTTGAGGCATCAATTCTTGCACCTTCTTCGCTGTCGTCAAGTAACTCCGGGCTTGTGCGTCTGCAAATTTAGTGAGCTGAGAAAGAACCTCCTGCTCTTTCCGTCCACCATGCAAATCTTGCATGAAGGTGCAATAGTCAAATCGCTTCAGCTCAAAACCTCTCCGCTTTGTTTGGTATTTGGTCTCGCTCTCGATCTTCTTCTTCTCCTTCGCAGAATCGTTCCTAATTCCTAAGTAACGGCTTACATAGTTGTAATAATCTCGACTTTCTTCCTCAAAATCCTTCTTTTTGACCTCCGCCTGCTTAATGTCCAGGTTATAGAGCTTCGTGAGCGGGTCAATGATTAATTTCTGAAGGCTAATTTCGTTCTGCCTCTCGAAAAAAAGAATCTCGCGGTAGGTGCTCTCGAAGTAGTGATCCAGGGCCGGTTGGATCCCAGAGGCATTTCCGGTACTCGCAACATCGCGTAGAGATTCCATGAACGCGTTAACGGCATCATTGCATACAATCTGTGCTTGCCGTGCCTGTTCAGCCCTTTTGAGTACTTTCTTCATTTTGGTACGCAGGGTACCAGTCTTTTGTTCCAAACTCTTGATGGTCGCTCGAAACAATGGGCCATCCTCCGCCATGGTACTATCCACCGGTCGTGGGCAGTTGTCTACTTTTACAGAAGGTGTACTGGTAATGCTCGGTGCAAGGGTAGATCCATCAAATGCTTCGACTAAAGGAGAGGGGGGTTCCGCTTCGAGGGGCAAATCTGCTGGTTTCGACTCCGGCGAATATCCAGAGGAAGACCGCATTTTTGGAGGTGACGAGAGCAGGTAATCCGAACTTGGACCAGGAGACGGCGGCCATGCTCGAGACGTATCTACTGACAGATAAGCGTTCACCCTTAAATATTATCGATCGCGAGACACATACTCTGAACCCAAAACGAGAATTGAGCCAGTGTGGAAAGCTTGTGCGCTCGTTGATCGTACTCGACAAACTGTAACATTTAGCATAGGATTCCAAGCTAAGGAGCTGCAACATTCACATACACTGCATGCATTCCTCCATCCCATATTCTTCCTATCTTCCATTCCTTGTGGAGGCCGCCAACGCCATTGCCAATCAAACTGCACGGCGTTCGATCCATCCGTCGAGAAGTCCCCAACTAGATTTACATTGGGATTCTTGTGCAGGTTGGGGTCAGAATGGAGCTCTCGTGTGACCAAATTCTCCAAATCCCGAGCATTGGATGCCACAATGAAAGTCAACCCATTGATGTTGGTCTCCGGCCCAATGTTTCCCGTGGCGTCGTCCTTCCGCCTGATATTAAATGTAAAGTTGAATGTTAAATCGTCCTCATTGGTAAGTTTAAGAAGGAAAGGTGGTTGCGCATTCGGGTCCGGATCCTAAAAAACCACAGGGAAATTAAGGACTAGACGAAAAAGAGATATCGGGCATCATATGTAATGCGTGCGTTATAGATGGGAGGGGGTGAGTAGGAAGGGGTGGTGTGTGTGATAGTACCTGAACAAACTCCACCAAGCTATCATCACCAGGGTCCTTCTTCGCAATAATCCTAGAACAGGGGAAGGAACTAGGGGTAATCCTCAGGTTTATTGGTTTTGGGCCTTTGGTTTTTATTAGGGAAGGAATACCCATTGAAAAAAATGAAGGGTTCAGTGAAAAAGTCCACAAGGAGAAAATGTGGGGGGGGGGGGGGGCGGTAGGAAAGAGCGAAACGGGTCCCCAAGAGCAGAGGAGTAGCCACGCGGAGAAAGAAAAATACGGGGTGTATACGTCTTGATTGATCTCTCAAGTACAAGGCCGGTCCATCCTCGAGCTTCCCATTCACGTTACCCATGGCGACAGCTGATGCGCACGCACAGGATCCCCAGCAATTTTTTTCGAGCCTTTGTCAGATAATTTTTTACTGTTTAGCTATACAGGAAGTGGTGGTGGGATTGATGGGGTAAGGAGAGGGGGGGGGTATAGGAAACAGGTGTTGTGAAGTTGACGGGGAAACGGTTGCGGGGAGCCACAGCGAACAGAAGGAGATGCGACGCCGAGCGGTAGTGTTATGGTATAATAGAGTACTGGTATCGTAGAAGGAAATGAGCGGGACCGTTAAATGTTGGAAACACGCACCACCGATGGCGAAGCCACGGCACAAAGTGAAAGTTATGAGATGAACTGGCACGATCAACAATATTGGACCCGAACCGCGGCGGTGAAGGACAAGAAGAAGGATGTGGACTGAACGGATGGGTTAATGATGTAGCGTTGCTGCTGCTCCCAACTCCTCTCTATTGCCCGCCGCTTGTGGGAGCAACAGTGGGAGCGGCCCCTTGAACTTGCGGTTCCTCGTACAGGAGGAGGGATATGGATATGGGAACAATGGGCACGGCCGCCTGATGAGCCCAAGGTGTCGATATTTCAAAGAGATGGGAAAGGGCTAAGGATGAGATATACGTGATGTTGTTCTCTTTCAGTATACGAACGCCTGTATCTAAGTGCAATACTAAGAGACAAGATTCATATCCGACCACCGTTGGATATTCTATTTTTTTACACTTTCTGCTCCTTCTATTGAGCGAATACCGTAGCGACCTCGATTGCATACCGCCCGAGCTCAGCTACCGGCGTAATTACAAGTACGAGTACGAGTACATTGGGGACACTTCCGGGACAGAAAGGCATATACTCGAGTAAATGGCGGTGTCCGGCCCCGCCCCGTCCCATCCACAGCCCTCTTTCCATGGAGATAAGCAGGAATAGCTACAGTGCCATCACCATATCCATCACCTCTATCACCATCCTAAGGAGGCCATCGCATCTCCGAAAACATAATAAGCCAGCGCACCCAGAGCACGATAACAATTTATGCCAGAGCCCCGACACTTGCAGGCTTGCGTGTGAAGCATGTCTGGCCCGCCGCGGTGATCCTCTTTGCATCGTATTAGTACAGTACCGGTATCCATCAAACGCCAAAGCTGAGTCGAATATGAAGACAAAGGAAGAGGAACCTGACAGGCGAAGAACAAATCCAGCCACATCCCGTCCACGAGTGGCCACAAAGTATTTCTGCGGAGTCGCTTCCGATAACCTGCACCACATGCCCTATTCCGCTATGGACCAAAAAAAAAAAAAAAAAAAGGGTCCTCCACTCGTGGAAAGTAAATTTACTTAAGCATGATACTCGTACAGTACCGATATTTAGTCCCTGGATCCATTCATCCGCCCGTCGATTCTCTCCATCCAGAAAGACTTCGTCAGGGGTTAGAGGAACAGAAAAGATGTGTTGTATGAGTCCCTTGCCGACAAGAAATAACTCCTCTTCACCCTCGCGCCGTTTTCCATACAGTTATTGCTATCCGGATATCATACCACTGTAGATGAAAACCTACGGTATGATGCCGTGTTTATTTGTAGAGCGGTAGCATACCGACAAGTACGGTACCGGTAACTCACACGTAAGAACTCGCACAGCGCCTTCCGAACACAAGCCCGCATGATCCCGATACTGTACGAGTACAGTACAATCGTTGTTACAAGTACTCGTACCGTGCTTGCGTGATCGCCCGAGCATGCGACCAACTCCCCCCCACCAATGGCCCCCTTTTTCTCCCACACACACACACTCGATATTAAACACACACGCGACTAAATTTACGACTCACAACACACCACACTCTCTCGCGATGTAACTTATGCACCGTCATCATAGCATCTAAAATGCCACTCGGTGATTCGGCACGGCACCACTGAGCCCCACAAGCCTCCTGTGGCTTTTTGGTCTTGGGGCTTATCGCCTTTCTCTTCCTCGAGAACAGGCAAAAATTATGATTAGCATCAGCCATCGACCTCTTCGACGTTGGAAGCCTGCAAACACCAGCATGATACTATTGCTATCACTGCCACACCCGCCAAGTATGAGTACAAGTACAGTACTCGTACTGTACAGTACAACTGCCAACTGACTACGAAAACCAATCCGCCGGAATCGCCACTCACCAGAAATAGCAACACTGGAAACGAGTTCTAAGGATGGGAGAGGAAGGGTAAAGTTAATTCGAAAATCACCCCAATCCAAGTGAAACGTGAACAGCACGAAAAACAGTCGATGCCGGAGCCGCACTCACCGGCGCCTTCACGATTGCGATGATGGTGCAACTTTAAGCTGTCGCGTGAGAAGATCTACCCCCCACTCCCGTCAAAGAAGAGCACATTTTGCGTTCCCATAATGAAACATCCACACCCCTTGCTTTCACCCAAACCCACTCGAATGCCGGTACCCGTATAGTTACCGGACAAACATTACAGAGTAACAAGTATCTATTATGTATGATACTGTAAAACCATAGGATATCCTCCCAGCCCACCGCCGCAATCATGACAAGTACGGTAATACCCAGCCCATCATTTACCCGCCAACCTCGACCACAACCACGCTCGTGCCAGCAAAAAAGAACAGCCGTTGCCTTCCCATCCCGATCCGCGCGACACAAGATAAAAGTGCTACCCAGCGACATCTTAGACTATCCATCCATCCATCCATCCATCCATCCATCCATCCAACCCCCGGATACTTTCCGATTGATTCAACCCCCTTTACTTCCACTTCAAACACCAGCCCCCGAACACTAAAAATAGGTTCGAATCTCGCCTTGATCACCGTGATATCCACGACAGACGCAGCCCAGTCCACGAAGCGACTAGCGTTCAAAGAGTACGTACGCACCACATCACGTCGTGCGTAATATGTTTATCACTATTATTATTATTATTATTGTTATTATTTAAAATAAAATAAAATAAAAAAAGAAAGAAAAGAAAAGACCCTTACCTAACCAGTTTGCGGAGTCTTTGGCAGTTGATCGAGACCAGCCTACTACCGTGCTACGATATCAAAATACCAATCACGGTGAGTCACTCGAAGAAGTGTTCTGCGCGAGTGACCGATCATATCAGAAGGGGGCAACATGCATAGACTCTCGTACACCGGTAGCAAGTAACCGGTACGAGCACTTGTTACCGTGCCGGTGGATCCTCGAAGCCGAAATATGCCGTACTTGTACCAAGGTGACGAGTGCCACAAACAAACAGACCATGCACAGACCCTTACTCGAGTGCTGTACTTGCTAATGATGGCTTGGTGCGGGAGGGAAAGCACGGACTGCTTGTTGCGTAAATTTACTTGTGCTTGTGCGTGCGCCAGCGTCAAGAGCGAAGGCGGAAGCGAGAGTGGCGGGTAGCGGCATGTGCTATGGGTGGGCGTAAAATTACAAGTACCGGTACCGCACTGTACTCGAGTATTGTAGTAAAATTCGTCTTACAAGTAGGAAAGTACACGTACTGTAGTCTACTTTTACAGCGCCCGAACGCGGGGATTACCGTGGGGGAATGTGTGCTCTCAAACAAGATTTATCTCCAAATGTTCAGGCACGAGTACCGGTACAGTACTTGTTGTACTCCTTGCGTGGCTATCGGCGTCCAAGCTACTGTACGAGTACGAGTAGAAGAGGCCGGAGGGAGAGAAGGTTGGGCTTCGAGTTGTGCTTGTGGAGGTACTGTATAGTAGGGTAGGTGGTGCCACCGACGGCGTGTTTTCCCGCCTCTTGTGCTCTTATCCCCATCCCCATCCCCATTTTCATTATGCTTTTATTTCCTCCGTTCTCGCCTCTCTGCTTGTCTGCATTTGAATTTGGACGGGTTGGTGGTGGTTGGGTGATTGTTTGATAGTTGATAGGGGTGTCATTCGATGATGGGGATAGCCGGATGGGTAATTGTATGGAAGAGTTTACTCGAGTACAGGAACTTGTGGCAAGAAGCATGCTCGAGTACCGGCACTGTCTGTACCTGTGACATGATATGGTACGAGTACTGTACTAGTACTCGTACATACTCGAGTACGGTACCGCGGGATGGCGAATCTTCAGAGTTGAACGAAGGGGGAACAAAAGCAACATGTAAAAAGCACCCGCGCGCACAACTCCTTTATGAGCCCGCTTGATCATCTGACTTCAGTACTTGCACTGTCCCGATTGAACCCCTCTCCTTCAATCGCTCCCGAATACCGTAGTGCTGCTTTCCCAGGATCAGGAGCACTTTCGCAGCCACGCGGATATATACTCGCGCCTAAGCACTTGTACTCGAGTACTGGTCAGGTATGATACAGGTGCCCGAGTCCTGCACCGGCGCCCGTACAAGAGAACTCGGGACTTTGTGGGGAGATGCGAATCCCCCAACCAACCCCAGATATGGCCGACTTGGCACTCCTACTCTAGTACTGTACCGTAGCTCGACAACCACCCCCAGTCTCAAGAGCTTCTGTACGAGTAAAAATGGTCTCGTTGATCAGCACCATTGGTTAATTTCCTTTCGAGCACTCAGGGACTAGCAAATTAATACGACCCAAGCTAACCGTATCTAGTAATATCTCGGCGTCGTTGCATACGATGAAGTAACGAATAATCCAATCTTTGCTCCATTTTACCAATTCAAGCCAGAGAGGAAATGATTGTCTACTTAATATGCTGCAGGAATTGGCAAGTGTCGATTTTGCAGTTGTCCACCTCTACGGTACTCTACAGTACAAGTACTCGAGTATCCTTGAGATAGTAGTACGTACACCTCGCTGAGTTATCCTGACATCCATTCCTGCCAAAGCACCGCAGGATGAAACTCCCCCCCCTATTAATCCCCCTATCTGGCTCCCACATCTCTGCTTGGCCGACCGCTCATCTACTCGTCGATCAGGAGGATGTCGGGGGTCCCAATTCGTACTAGGTACATGTACCAAAACCAGGCGAGATAAGTCAAGTTAATGTACCGGTACACGAGTGCCGGTACTAGGACATGTACAAGTACCAGTACTACTGTATTCGAGGAGTTCTACTAGTGCTACAAGTAGCATAGCACCAGAACTCTGCAACCTAATCTGCTGTACTCGTGCTCGAGCACCCTCACTCAAAGGAGCATCGGAGGTTATCCCGCACTCTATATTATTTGGCGACCGGATAACAGCCGTTTCAACTTTCCCAGGCTTGACCCCAACCCTGGCGGCCGGCCGGAGCGTTCATAAGAGGAATTCCCGAGAGGCAGGAGGGAAGGGGATTGTCTCATTGCAGCGGGGGGCGAGATTCGGTTGATTCGCTGCCGCTGCTGTGCCATTAGAAATGAAGGAAGATGAGAAGCAGAGAGTTGGGAGATAAATAAAGAACTGATATTGTTCGAGTGTCGGTGCCTTACATTGTACAAGTAGTATGGACGATTGAGTGATTGACGAGAAATCAAAGTGTGTGCGGCGGCACGTAAAGTGGGGGATCAACTGTTACAGCAAGTGCTGTAACGCTGGACTACCGTAGGATAGACAATCGGCGCGAGGTAGAGTGCCGCTGCGTAGCTTTGCCAACAACCTAGGCCAAGGGTGGGCGAAAAGTCGGACAGACAGAGAGACAAACAAAGAAGAGATGCTGTAAATAAACATAACAATAGGAGCAATAAACACACACAACATAAGCTAGCGCCTATGACATTCCCCCCACCACTCCATGCTACAGTCTATCTCTCGTCTTTGGCTCTCTCCCCTTTCCTGCCCTTCCGATCGACAGCCTCATATCATAGGAGAACGCGTAATTGCCATTCTCATGTGCGTGCGCAAGAAGGACCCCCTCCACCAGCCTCCCTTCAGGCACGCAGATCCTCCAGAAAAGCGATAACCGGGAGTAATTATCAGGCAGGAAAGTTAGGAAACCAAAAAACACATTGTCTCCAGAGTCCTTTCCTAAATATAGCATCATCACCGTTAGCCGTGCCTTTTTTCTACGGGCATAAAAAAACCGGTGGCGCTGGATTATCTCCTTTTTCTCACCTGCCTTCCTTGTGGAACACTCTGGAAAGATTGGGTGGCACTACAGGGAAAAGGGATCGATCCGATTGAGGCTTGCCAGCTTTCTTTCTTTTGCTGGCTGGCCCACCACAGCAGGGAAACGGGAAGAGGGGGGGGGGTTCAGACCGGCAGCGGGCAGAGTTATTCCGCATTAGAAATTTCCATAATTCTGTATCCATCAATTTGCTGCATGAGTCTCCTGGAGGGATGTATGGATAGGGGTGAGACTCCATACTCAAGTAGGTACTGTAGTAGAGTGAGTGGAGCATTAGCACCAGGTGCAACACTCGATAATCTCTCCTGCTTTCTTGGGGCAGTACGGGAGTCAGGAAAGCTGTGGGTGCGTTTCTACACGAGTACCGTATCCATCCATCCCATCCAAAGGCAGTTGCTGAATGAATAATAAGGACTCAAAAAATAGAAAAGTCAAGGAAAAAAGAAAAAAAGAGAAAAAAAAACAAACAGAATTGAGAGTTAGGGCAGGAAAAAAATCAAGTACTGTAATCAATCCGCAAGGGCCCCAGCGTAAGGAAGGCAAAAAAAGGTGTAACCCTCCCATTTCCGGCAAACTTCCTCCTTGATAAATACCCTCCCGCCCACCACGCAACCCCTTCTCTTCTCCTTCCTTCCTCCCTTCCTTCACCACACTCGCTGCAACAAAACGCCGACTTCGATACTTTCCATCGAACTCTTTACACTCGTTACTCCTTTTCTCAGAAAGCAGTGTTTCCGTTAATTCCTTCCTCACACTTTACCACCTTCTCACCTTTTTCCAACCTTCAAACACATTCAAAATGCAGTTCAAAATTCTTGCTATCGCCGCTCTCGTTGCTGGCGCTTCCGCCGCTACCGGTGTTCATAACAAGACTATGACCAACGGGTTTGTTTTTTCCCTTCTCCCCAATATTTGATACCAGGTGAAGCTAATACGAAAGATAGTACTGTCCCAACCACTACCGGAGGTCCCGGGTCGGGTATCGGAGGTGGAAACAACGGATCCGTTCCGACTGGATCCGGATCTCCATCTGGAGCCCCCTCCTCCAACGGTGCTTACGCCAATGCCATCTCCGGTGGTTTGTTTGGTGCTGCTGTTGCTGCCGGGCTTACTCTTGTTTGTTCTCCTTTTTTTTTGATTGGCCTGCCTTTTGAACAAGAGACTAATTGATGCTCTACAGGTCTTGTGAAGAGGCTTGACGGTTGATACTGTTTAGTTCTTGTTTCTTTGCTTCGAAAATTACTGTTGGGTTGCGTAATGGGGATGGAAGTTTGGCGGACGGGCATGGAAGGTGAAGTGCATAGAAATAGATATACCTTAATACTTTTGTGCAAAAAAAACATTTCCCTCTACTATACTCGCTACCACCATTTGGTACGTGCTATATGATACTTGTACTTCGAGTGTGACATGAGGCGAGACAACACGGATCCCGGCCCACTTAATCCACATCCACATCGATAACAATCTGCACTTGCCGTACGGGTATTATTATTCCTATAACTGCACGTAAGGTCTCCAGTACAGAACTGTACAGTACCTGCATTATCCACCCACAACAACGACCCTACTGTCGTCGCCAAGGTTTCACATTTCATCTGAGCTGAGCTCAACTGGCTCATAGACTACACTCCTCCCCCAACCATAGTGATGACGAACGTTAGGCAGCCCTCATGTGCGAGTACCATACTTTCGTTTAGAAAGCGGAGTACCTCACTTTGAAAGCAGGTAACCTCCTCACCAGCCGGCCATACGTTACAACCGCTACAGTATCATACAAGTACTTTGGACAACAAAGTTCTCTGTCCTACTTGCTTAAGGGCATGCTTCCAGTGGACTCGGAGCTGCCCACTACTTAGTACGAGTACAGTACCGGAGTTCGTTGGGGCGGCCTGGGCTGGGATTTACCCGGCTGCCAAGCTATTACAGTTACCACCGGGGGAATGGGGAAACGGGGTGGGTGGCGAACAGGGATTAATTACTGTACGAGTACAAGTAATTTTTTGTAACCCTAACCTTAGCTAATACCGGTACATTTTTACCTATGAACGGTAGTGGTGACTATACCTGGCCCGAAGACGCCACCTTCCAGCCTGGGCCGACAACGACTGACCGCGAAATTGGGAGGTCAGGAGCACGAGAGATTAGAGTAGGGGTAACAAGACCAGTTTGATGTCTACAATAGGGAGGTCTTGTTACGACGGTCGTAACAAGAACTGTGCTTATTTTTGTGGCGAATTATGAATGTTGCAACAAGGTGAGAAACACTGGTGTTTTGCTAAGGACAGTACAAAACTTGGTGTGAGTTGAAAAATTTTGTCCTAGTGTTGATGCAAACTATATCCATTTTGGGTAAACAAAAGTGTAAGCTTACACTTTACAACTGTCTTATTAAAGAACTATTCCTAAGACTGCAATGTTGAGCTACCAAGTAGTATTGCACATATGGAAAGGTTATTGCCATTGATATAGTAATAAGGAAAGTTCAAGTTATGACTGTCTTAGTAGGACCTCCCTAATATTATGAAAACTCTTGAAATCTGCAATCGCAGGCCTGTGTATGTGGTATACTTGGGTAGAAGAGTATGCAATATATTAGCTAGTATGAGGAGTACCAAGATCTGATACCTAGAAACCACACTAAGTAGGGTAACCTCACTCAGAATCAGAATCTCTGGTCTCCAACACCCTCCTCTGGCACTGTTATAGGGCCTGCACATTATCATATATTTCTATCTTAGTTGTGTCCTGTGACTATAATGCCACAAAATGGAAGGTGTCAGAATAATACTATATGTGTTGCTGCTGTACATCTGACTGGATCCTGTTTGTGGGATATATCAGAGGGGACCTTTGTCTAAGTCTAGGAAGTGGAATAGAGTAACTCTATCAACTACTCAGAGAGTTACTAGGCTTCAAAGATGGAACATCTTTGGCATGGGCTATAAGTAATGGGATAGTTTCATACAGAGAAATGATAATGAATGTTAAAGGATCTCTATGAAGAGCCAACACATTCTCATTCATCCTATGATAATTAGAAGGGACTAGAACTCTGAGAGACACTACAAAAAAAACTAATAGACTTCGCAGAGTGCTACAACTGGGTTTAGGGATGTATCGTGATTATAAGAATTCTCACCAATACCAATCAGCAACTAAAGCCCTGTTACCTAGAGTAATCAAGAGTTGCTGACCAAGGGATAATCTACCAATTCAGTAGAATGACTCCCTGCAAATTAGTAGGAAGTTATATGGAGGATATCTGTAGACTGGATCAGGAGTTATGAAGGTCAAAAGTTGACGACCTAGAAAGGTTATATCTACAACTACTCCTGCAAATAGGACCTGCAGAGGAAGGTGAGCATTTCATCAATAGGGGAAACAATTGGGGCCAACACAGTTTGACTTGAAAACTAGGCAATAAGTCTAATAACTCAGAGAATTGGATAATTACAATCGAAAACAATACAGTTCTCAATTGGCAAATAGTAATTACTGAAGAGAGGGTGACAGTTTTAAGGGTCTCTGAGTATTTACACTTTAGAAGGACACTCTATATTACAGGTTATAGTTAGAGAGCTATATCATTTGTATGAGAGATAGATGTACTTATGCCAAGGTTGTGGCTAGCTGCAATAACTCCTGGCTGCTCACTCGCTCACAACCTAGGTACTCCTCCTGAGTACCTGACAGCTTAACATTACTTTTCAGCTCAATGTCACTTTGTGGCTTAAGATTTTTTTTTCATTTCCTTTTTCAAAACCTTACTTGACTACTCAATATAATATTAAAAACTTTTAATTTATATTATTTATCATACATCTATTTTCTCAACCTTGATCATTGTTTAGTACTTGTAATTATTAGCTTAGCTATTTTCTTTTTGTAGGCTTGAATAGCTCAGCACTCTTTAACATATACCTTCATTGTATCTAGTATGATAATGGCCTTTGTTCTGCCCACTCTACTTATTTCCTTATATTTTGAGCCTTTTGTAACTACTTTTCAGCTTTCTCAACTTCCATATCCTTCTGTCTTTTAACCATCTAGTGTGCATCTCCAACATAAATTACTCTACCTTTTTGAATTTGTCTTCTGTTTCATGCCCTAGACCTTACTCCTCTGGCATATTCAGCTGTCTGAGTATGCCCTAAGTGCTCTATTGTAAGGGCCTCTGGCTGTGTCTGAGCTAATCCATCTTGTATTACAAGTTTAAGACGATACTGAAAGCCGGGAGAAAGATTAGTGGCCACAAACTGTAATTCTTCTCTTTTTCATTTCAAACTTGAAATGGTAAGAGGAATTGTTTGTAGTGAGAAAGATGGTATTAGTGTTGTAGGTAATGGTAGAGAAACAACAGACTCAAGAAGTTTCAAGATTACTAGGTCTGGATTGTATGAAATAAGCCTAGTGATGTAAAAGGCAGATTGCACCATTGATTGCTTGAATGTTAGCTTGTAGATAGAGTCAATCATATCCAAAAACTCAACTTTATCAAACTTGCCACATCTAGTACATATTGCAGCTGCAACTACCTCAGACTAGTAATGTTTGTATTGTTGAAATACTTCAACATCTAGTTGTTGAAGGAGGTGACTAGTATATAGGAGAAGGCAGAAGGGAATAATTGTGTGCTCATCACAGCAGTTGATAAACTGCTTTGTACAGTATGATTTAAAGGCATCAAAGTAGGGGAGTCTATAGGTGCCAGCAAGTCTTAATCATAAACATCTCTTAAAGTGAACCAACTACTTTATTGACTATTCATCATTAATGTAGCCTGAATTGGATATGCCAACTAGGTAATCATCAAGGATGGATGTGGCCATGTACTATGACTGTTGATGAATTACACCGGAGACAATAATCAGTGGTGGAATAACATAGCCATTACCAGAAATTGTTCTACAAACTGAAATAAGTTCTTAATATGCAGAGCGGCCAAAGTAGGATTGTTGTATAAGATCTCATGTAATAATCAACTAGTCTTTTCTAATTTTAATTTGAAAGCCAGTATCATCAAAATTGTATATATCTGAATAGTGAATATTATACTGCTTACAAACTGTCTGATCCTTTTCAAACTATACTTTTATCTTATCAGCCTGGTGAGCATTTTTGTGGTCAGTATTAATTGTACATTGCTTGCAGATAAAATACTCAGGATAGCTTTTAACAAAGTATCGGGTCCATTGCTTACTAACAACTAGTGCAGGAGGGTGGGTCTGGAGTGGGACTTTTGAGGAACCAAATTTGCACAGCCCGAAACCATTGGAGTCTTACACCGCACAGGGCTCGCGACGAGCCACCAATACCAAACTCAGA